AAAAAAAAAAAAAAAAAAAAAAAAAAAAAAAAAAAAAAAGGTTGAACCCCAATCTTGAGGGTTCTCACTGCCCCGCTGCTAGAGGTTTGTGAGGGAGGTAAATCGCGAGATGTGCTCCAACAGGCCAAGAAACAAAAGCTGCCTGTACACTATGCCTACAAGTCCAATTTTATGTTTTAGAAATCGAATCCTCATACAGCGGCTGCCAATAAGGCGTGAGATAACCTCACTCTTGTCCTTTGCACTATTGGACTATGTCCCGGGAGGCAATTTCCTCAACTTATAAAGACTTTTGATTGTGCCAAACAAGCCTGTTTGAACCTCATCGTTACTAAAAATGCATTTTTGAATTTTAAATTGAGGGAGAATGTATAATTAAAAAATAAAGAAAAGTTTTTCATTTGATTATAATATTATTTTATTAAAAATGTGTAGTTAAAAAGAAAAGAAAAGTATATTTTAAAAATGAATAATGCTATTTCTAGTCGTTCACTGCGACAGTTGCCCTACGTGGCATATACATGGTAGGTGGTTATTTGATACATTAATGAATAAAAAAACTACCACATTAATATATCAAATAATCATCTGTCATGTGTATGTCACGTAGAACGATTATCGCAGTGAGCGACTACGAATAGCATTACTCTTTAAAAATAATGGATATGAGGGCTTACATTTAAGCACAGTTCAATTGCGTGTTTAATACCTTGCTATGCACTCCATGATGTTCGCCTTCATAAGGGTTCTTTTCAACTCTTAAGTGAGAATCAGTGAGTGACAGCACTGACAGGAGAGGATTTTACCCTAAAACTCGTCCCATATTCATTTTTCCAGTGGGATTTGAAGATGGTTTGGTTATTTTTTCTTCTCTCTCTCATTTCGTCTTCAACTGGTAAGCAAAAATCAAGATTTTCTTCTCTTCAACCATTTTTCTGCCATTTTCAATTCTACTTAAATAACTTATAATTGTTGTTTTTCTTAAATTTCTTGCTTCGTAGTTGCAGGTCAGGAAACAGTGGAGTTCTTAACGCTCTATGACTCAACTGCACAGGCGCTTCATAATTTACCTGATAATGGTTTTCCTGTGGCAGTTCAAGTGGAAAACCAGTACCTTAGGAATGTTTCAAATACTGTTCTGATGGCTGAAACTTGGGTCCGGGCCCATGTTTTATCACACTATCCAGCCACCAATATAACCTCCATTGTTGTTGGTTACGATTTGTTGTGCAAAAATGATCGAGAAACTATGTCGGTTCTGTCTGCCATCAAGAACATTCACTATTCCCTCACGAGGTGGGGTTTGCAGAATGATATTAAAGTCTCTTCCGCCTTTTCTTCCAACTGTTTGGACTTCAAATCTGGAACTTACCGGGTTGATTTGGCTGAAAATTATATCAAACCTATACTCAACATTTTGCAAGAGATAAACTCTCCCTATTTTGTGAACCCAACTTCAAATCCTCATACCTCATATGATGAAACCATGAGTTTCTTTAAAATCCATTCAAAATCAATGAGAAATCTTGGGATTCATCTGAACAAAATATATGTGATAATTAGCAGTCCAAGAAATACGAAACCCACTAGCAGAAAACTCGCATTTTTTGATTACAGCAGTTTAATAGGTTCACTTCCGGCAAGGCCTAAACAAATATCCCCATCTCCTGCACCCATTGGTTTTTCTGAACCAGCTTTTGCGGCAGGAAGCCCTTTACCTCCACTAATAGGCAAAGTCTCGCCCCCACCATTGACACTTCCCTTAGCTCCTTCACTGCCACCCATGGTCAATCCTAGTGCACCTCCATTTGGGCCCCATTTGCCTCCATGTAATCCATCTGGTGATGCCGGTTCAGCTGCTGCACCGGTAGCAGCAGGGGTGCAAAATGGGCTGTGGTGTGTGGCAAAGCCTAGTGTGCCACCAGAGACACTTCAGGAGGCACTGGACTATGCCTGTGGAGAGGGCGCTGCTAATTGTGAAGCTATCAGGCCTCAAGGGCATTGCTATTTCCCTGATACCATTGTAGCACATGCCTCTTTTGCTTTCAATAGTTATTGGCAGAAGAACAAGAAAAATAGTGGTTCTTGTGGCTTTGGAGGGACTGCTATGCTCATCAATACTGATCCCAGTAAACATTTTTTCATCCAATTTGACGAATTTAATTCTTTTTTCATGAATATTTATATAATTCAATAGTGACTTTTACTGTTTCAATATCATTTGAAATACATTTGCAATATTGGATTTTGCAGGTTATAATCACTGTCGATTCATTCTTGTCTAGAGGCATCAGTTGAAGTTGAAGATGGACCATATGTCGACTACTTTGGCTACTTTTTTGCTTTTGGGGCTTTTGATTTTAAAGTGAATTAATTCAGACAGCCCCTTTATTCGTGAATCTGTATTTTAGTTGCCTGTTATGTAAAAGAACTTAGGATTCTACGAGCAGCAAAAACTCTGTTTTGAGTTGTTTAATGATTATGTCTATGTTGACAGCACTTAAGTCTTTGACGATGACCTCTTTCCCAGCAGCATAGCTCCTTATACCTAAGTCCTAAGGTCTCATTTTTCTCCTTTTTGGGTACTCTAATCATTGAAACTTTGACGTTAAAATAAAAATATGCATTTTCCTTCATTAATATGGAACTGTTAGCAAATTTTCTTAGCTATGATAGAAACAATTTTCTAACAGTGAATCAAAAGGGAAAAAAGCAATATTCGAGCAAATGGTGGAATCAAAATAAGGAGAATTAATTTCAACAGTGAATTTAAAGGACAAAAAGCAACAACTGAGAAAATGATGGAATAAAGTCATAAACTCAAAAAATGACAGTTGAATTCTTCAGAATTTCCAATTGCATTACTGAATTCTTTATACCGTAAACGTTCTCAAGGGTAATAATTCTGATCACTCTACTTCTCAGTTCTAAGAATCTAGGAACAGCTATCAAGATTGATCAACGTGAATGCAAATTGCAACACATCAGGGGCAAAACTATAGCTTCGGACTCAGCGAATCAAAATGACTAGTTGAAGAACCAACCAAACATGATATCTGACCATTATATTCAGGGTTCTTCGTTACTTGCACAAACTAATGCTCCAGCTTGATCATCATCGGCCTTGTCATTTCTTACATTGGAGCTTCCTTCATTCTACAAAGGAGCATAAAAACACACAAATATGCTTCTATTCCAAACTTAAATTAAGAAGACAACTGACTACGAGTATTGAATTTATGTGCTAATGTAAAAAGGTCTGAATAAGTGAATAACCAAGAATTAAACCAACACTATAGCACCACCGCTATAGATTGCAATTACAATCCAGAACAAAATAACTGAACATTGGACTCTATACGTGAGTTGTGATTAACTGTTTACAATCGATCAAATCATTTTTTTATCCACTCATTTTGTGAGACTTATTAGTACTATCCACCAACCCACCACTAAATTCTGTCTATTTATAATTTAAACCGATTATAAACAACTCCCAAACATTGCAGCACTACTCATAGAATGGAGGTGTAGTTTAAGCCTATAAACTTAACTATCTTTATCATTGCTGGTATTCACACAATTATTTATCTAAATGAACATCAAGTTGTGTGTTATGTGAGCTTTTTATTGATTATGCCATGTCTCATTAATTGTAAGTCGTGTGTGGCCAAAAATGACACCATGATCATTTGCATTTAATTTCTCAAGGGTTAATCGAAAATTTTTGTAGAAGAGACATGAAATATAGTAGCTTTTTATACATCTAGGAAAACAATACTTGTACTCCAATCACATGGTAAATATGTAATATCAGTAGAACGAGGGAGAGGTAACGCACTTTCTGAGTTGATCTTTGAGCCACCATGAGCTCGTAATATTTGCGCATAAGCATTTCTTCCTCTACCTGCAATTCACACAATAATTAAGCTCCCCATATCTTCAAGCGTGAGAACAATACAGATCAACAGCAATAAACTTAGCACATGTTTGGGACACGTCACAAGACAAGCCAACTCAACTACGAACATAATTGCAGCCCTTTTTTTTTCCCCCTACCAAATATAGTACTAATGCCAAATTGATAAAAGGGGGAAATGAAAAGCTTAATGTAAGCTTGGCAGCATGAATTTAAGTAGGGGTGTTAAATGGGATGAGTAAACTCGCTCAACCAAAGTGTGGCTCGGCTCGCAGCCCTTTTAAAAAAATTGAAATTACATATTTTACTCATTATGGCGAGCCAGGTCATCCACAAGCCAATAAACTCACGAGCTAGTGAACTCATTAGGCAATCGCTACTAGGCTCGCGCCTCACCCCACTCAATACCCCTAAGTTTAGGGCATGAAAACCATAAAAATTCCAATCAATTCCTTACAAATACAAATTTAGTTTTCATGAATTTGTGGGACTCCAATTCTATGCCACCTAATATTCACGGGAAAATCAAACAAAACGCACTGTAAACAAGAACAGTGTGCTCGAAAGGAAACCTGGAGCCTGTGCAGTTCATGGGACATAGACCTGTATGCATCCATGAGAAGCTCGTTTTGCTTCTCCAAATGCCTGCACCCAATCATTATTCGAAACCCACATCAAATTTACCACATACTGCGTTTAATTATATGAAGTACGAGTCTGTTACACACAATTATACATACAGATAAAAAGGGTGGGAAATAGAAGATTTACTTGAGCATATCTCCTGTGTATTTAGGATCCATTAAGAACCGTCCTAGATTGATCTTAATTCTAGAAAAATATATTCCGAAGATGTTTTAGGCAGAATTATGGTTGAACTGAAAGGAATCAAATAGGCAATTGAAGGAGGCGGAAGAAAAGGGCTGAGTATATGGGCCTATTGCAGGAAGTAGAAAAAGATAATTTGACCCAAGTTTTCGTTTCAGTCAACCCAACTGAAAAAATGGGCTTGAACAAATTAAAGACGAGATTTAGCTAATGTAACTACCCGTGTTTGGTACTAATTAAATTATATTTCATTTTTATTTCTCCTATTTTTTACCACACAAATTTTCATAAAATAATATTATACGTAAATCGAAAATTTTTCTTTCTTTTTTAACCACTCATTTTTCAAAAAACAATATTCCATCCATTTTTATTTTCCAAAATGGGGGCCAAACGGGGGCTACAATATATTAAGAATAGTGGAAAGGAAAAATTTCATAAGTAAGAGTTTAGGTATGACACATTTCAAAATCAAGAAAATAAGTTTCAAACTTCGAAAATTAGATTTTATTAAAAATTATTTATGATTTATTTAATTAATTAATAATTTTATCAATTAAATAAATTTGGGTCAGAGATCTGTACAATTTGACAACAAATTAACGATTTAGTTCGTCACTTATTATTTTCTGGTCACAAATGAGAAATTTTATGTCAAAAATTATTTTACGACCACAATTAAAAAAATTTATAGGTCACAATTTGTTCATCAATCATAAATCAAAAAATTAATAAATCATGGATTAATTTTTAATCACAACTTATCAATTTATTGTTCAGAACTTATTTCTCGATTCACAAATAAAATTTTTTATAGGTCACATTATTTTTTGGTCACGAATCAAAAATTTTATAGGTCACAGATTATTCATTGATCACAAAATCAAAATTTTTATTGGTCACAACTCATCTATTCATTGTAAATTGTTGGATTGATTGGCCACGATTAATTGTTTAGTCATAACACAATCAATTGTAAGTCATAGTCACAATTTTTAGGCCTCAGATTACAAATTCATCAATTTTTAGTCACAATCAACCAAATAATTGGTCACAAGCATCCAACCTCATTTCTTCCGACGACCATCGCCACGATCGTCACATCTATTATTACTATCACCATTATTGTCACCACAACAACGGAGCACTGTTGCCAACAAAGCCACCACCACCTCATGACAACCTATCAACACCATAACACACCAACATATTCATCACCACAACAATGCCACCAAAGCCACCACCATCGTTCATGCAGCGACCACCAACATCAACATCAGTCACCACAACAACTGCCTCCACCACCAATCACCACCACAATCGATTACCACAGCGACCACCACAATCACCATTACCATCACCATCAGTCACCACCGCAACCACCATCTCCACCACACAAATTTGGGATTAAATAACCACCACCACCATCACCCCACCACCACAGCCACCAAACAAAAATCGGATTCAAATAATTGAATACCACATCACTGAACCGCCACCACCACACACACCAATTACCACCACCGTACCCAAAGAATTGAATACCACACCACTAAATCGCCACTACCACTGCACACACCAATTACCACCACTGCACCACCACCACACTGCACACCTCTACCAAACTACCAACCACACTCGACTCAAAAATTTTAAAAAAAATGAAGAATGGGGCAGACGATATCGCTGCTTGTAGATCTGCTAGCACCACAGGCTGTTTGTCCTGCAACAACAAGCGCTTTTGGTGTGATGTCAGTCAGAGCAGTTCCATTGTTGGCTGCTTGAATTGATAAGAAGAAAAAAGGAGCGAGCCGATGAGATTGAAGGAGAGACGAAAATGAAAATAAGGTAGGGTTAATTAAATTTGTATTATAATATTTAATATTCAAAATATCTGATTTTTAAACTTTGAAACCTTCATTATGATTTTAGAAAATTGATCTTGAAAAGTAGGTAAAGATGTAATTTCCACACCTAACCATATCTTTCAAAATCCAATTTCAAAAACGAAATTTGTTTGTACAAAAATTAGATATTAATTCAATATTAATAATAAAATTAATTCCCAATTTTCATACAAACCTTAAAAATCACCTCACATTTACTCATTCTCCCTCCTTTTGTTTCTCCTCAACGTTCCCTCTCCTTATTTCCCTCGTCTGGCGGCAGAAACCATTGCCTTCCTCTCAGTCGGAGTACCTCTACGCGAGTCGGCTCTAGTATTTCTTGAAGCAGCTCAGTTCCAACTTTATTCTTAGATCTGGTTTTAAACCAGTGCGGCGTCGCTACCACAGCGCATAATGACACTACATGGTTGCACGACTAGCATTAGCGTTGATTGTGGACTCAGTCTATAGTGGATTTGATAAGTCAATGGTGATGCAGCAGTGGCGATGACAACTAGTTTGGAAATTTTTTTGGTGGGTATAGTAGTTGTGGTGCAATTGAGATGGTGGTGGTCATTTTTAGTACAGGTGCTAATGCTCTTTTTGTTGGTCGTGATGTTGATAGTAAGATGGTGGTGGCAGTGTGGGTGGTGGTAAAGGTGATGTTGGTGGTGGTGTTGGTGTTGACGTTGACATTGGTGGTGATTTTGTAGTTAAAAATGGTGGTTTGTTGGTGGTGGGGTACAAGTGGGTTTGAAGTAAAAAATGGTAGTTTGTTGGTGGTGATAGTGCCGCGATGGTGTAGCAGTGCTGCGAACATGCAGCGATGGTGGCATTGCTGGGCGACAGTGTTGGAGGAGGTGCGACGGGAGGCAATGATGAGGTGGTAGCCACAAGAATTGGTTGCTGCTCATAGATTATTTCATCGATTGTGACCAATATATAGATAAATTGTGACAAAAAAAATATATGACTTAAAATTTTGTTAATTTGTGACAAATAATTTGATAATTTTTTATTGTATAATAAATTAAAAATTATAAAATTTATGATTTATGGCTGATAAATAAATTGCGATTTATAATTTTTTTGAATTGTGACTGATGAACAAATTTTGACCTGTGAAAATTTTGATCTGTGATCGTGAAATAATTTGTGATCTATAAAATTTTTTATTAGTGATTGAAAAATAATATATGATTAACTAAATCGTTAATTTGTGACCGAATTGTATAAACCTATGACTTTAATAAATTAAATTAATAAATATATAATTAATTAATTAAATCATAACTAAATTTTTAAAAAAATCCGATTTTTGAATTTCGAAACTTTGGTTCTTCGTTTTGAAATGTGTAATACTTAACCTCTTAGTTATGGATTTTCCCTTAAGTATAACAGGAGAAAATCACATATAAAGTTTTAACGAACGACAGTGAAGAAAAAATTTCTTACCCTATTCGAGAAATTGAATTCTTACCTAGATTCGATTCGAAACTCATGAAGAAGAAAATCCTCATATGGGGCAGTTTTGACAAATGACAGTGAAGCTAGTAAATACGCAACTACGACTATTGTAATTGTCGTATTGTTTGGAATAGATTGCAAGAGGATTGAGAAAAGGATGTTATCTAGAGCAGAATTAAGGATTAATTTTAGGGAAAAATTTATAAATCATGTATTAAGTATGAAAAATTCAAAAATCAGGTTTTAAGTATAAAACTGCAAAAATTAGGTATTAGCTAATTAATTAAAAATATTTATTAATTAAATATAATAATGTCACAGTTATACAATTATTGGTCATATGTATATAATTATAGGTCACAACTTATTTATTGGTCACATATTGTGGAATTAATTGATCACAGATTATTTCGAGGTCACAAATAATTTTTTTTATAGATCACAGTTTATTTCATTAGTCACGGATCAAAAAAATTATAGGTCACAGTTTATCTATTGATCAAATATTTTCAAATTTGTTAGTCACTGATTTTTTTTAGTCACAAATTATCGAGTTTTAAGGTCATATTTTAATAGTTAGTCACAAAGAATCGAATAATTGGTCACACATACCCAAACAATCGACTCCAATCCATCACAAATACTTGCCACAAATCGACCAAAAGTTGGTCACAAAATACTCATCCCATCCTCCGTCGTTACCACCACTGCCACCGCCACCACCAACAATAACAACACAACACAACGCCCACCAACATTACCACCACCAACCAGATCTGAACTCACCAACCCACCGCACACCACATTTGCACCTCCACAAACAAGTCAAACACCACTGCACAACGATAGTGCCACCACCACACCACCGTCTCCACACACTCACCACCACCAACCAAATCTGAACTCACCACACCACACTACCACAACCACTAACGATTATTGGTGTGTAAGACAAACGGCAGGGCATAGCTTGCTTGCGACATCGTTATCACCATTGAGCGCAGCACTGGATGTCGCTACTCCGGACGGTTCTCTTCCGATGGTAACATCGTTGCACCGGAGATTCTCTTCCAGGATCAGCACCGCTATTGTTGAGAGAGAAGAGAGGTTAGGAAAAAGAGAAGACGGGTGCTGGGTCTATCACTGTGGCTATCGATTTCGTGCACATAGTGGTTCTCTTGGTTGCAGTAGAGAGAAGAAGAAAAGGTGGGACATCATCAATGGCGCTCCCAATAACGGCTTCAGGTGGCGTCATCAATGACGATTTGTGACGATAGCTTTAGATATTAGCTTGTGAGACCAATTATTTGGGATAGGGGGGAGCGGATAGTCGTTGAGAGAGTGAGAAGAGAGAGACTAGAATGAAATAATTAGGGTTTGGAATACCTGATTGGTGAATAATAAAACTTCAGCCCTGATTTTTGAATTGCAATCACTAAATATCTGCTATTATTAAATTTTCACTTAATTTTATGTGTGAATTGATTTGTCAAATATTACTTTTACTTTTATATTATAGTATTAATAGAAATAAAAAAGATGTACTGTAATATTTAATTATATTAATATAAAAAAGGTGTGTGGTGTAATTTTGTCTTAAGAATACATAATCACATTTAGGGGCAGGAAAAAAATTGAAAAATTGATCAAATCCACCAAATCAAATAAGTGGGGTTGGTTTGGACTTATTTGAACCGAAAAATCGATTTGGTTCGATTTATTTTACCCACTAAAAAGTTGGGTCGAGTTGGTTGTAGTTTAAGCAATCAACCCATCAATTAATCGATTCAACCAACTAATACATTTTATTTTCATTTTGAAATTCATATTTTTAAACTTAAAAAATATAACATAAAAAATATAAATATAATTTATTCTCAAATAATCTGTTTACCATCTACTCCTCTTCTTTTACCAAAACTACAAATTCCAAAAAGAATAAAAGGAGAATAATTTTTGTTAAAAACTCTAGGCTATTCAGATTGTAGCCTTACTTTTTATTTTGTGTAATTGTTAGTTCGTAGTTGGTAAATATAGCTTATACACGATGATTTTCGGAAAATCAACCGTTTATCATTTACATTATATTTATTATTGATACGTACTATGAAGCAAAAATGTATATATGTATAGGCAACCAAATTTTTTTAACTCAAAATAGGTAGACAATTTTTATTTATTTTTAATTTGGACCAATGTCAAAACCGACTAACCAAACAAAATCAATATGTTATGATTTGGTTTTGTTTGGTTCGATTTCAACAACTAAATCGAATCGAGTTGAGCTAAAATTAATCCAAACTGACTAAGTTGGTTCTGATTTCGAGTTAGACCGAAAATAAGCCCAACCTGAACCATTGGTTTCACAAAACATGCGTTAAATTACCACCACAACAACAATAATAATTTCTGAAATAAAAATATAGAAAAAGTACACATTAAATTAGGATAATTTATTTATCATCATTACATTCTAATATATAGCATATATTCTTCTTGAATAACATGTTATTCAGCTATAAAAAGAAAGAAGGGGAAGAATCATCATTCAGTTATAAAAGAATAGGTCAATTTTGTCAACAAAGTTATAAAGAATTAAAAGAAAGTAAATTTAAAGAACAAATTGAAGGAAGTTATCAGACAAGTGGAGCTCAACAAAATTGCGACAAGAGATGTCATAAATATCAACAAATTAATGGCTTGTGCTTTGTATGTGGAAAACAAGACCATTATGCTAGAAATTATCAATTGAAGAAAAGACCAGCAACTTTCAACGAGCAAAAGAAATATAATAGTGAAGAAGAATGGGAGGCTGAGGCATCCATGACAATAATTGAGCATGCTCGAGAAAAGAAATTTAATTCAAGTTTAAAGAACAAATCAATGTTAGTGATGGTCCTTCTTGAACAATTGGATTGCAAAGATGATTGGATCGATGACTTGGAAGAGAACGTCATGGTTTGTGAAGAATCTTTTTGGCGGACTTCGCAGAGGAGGAATTAACAATCTTGAAAGAGGTGCTTGAAGAATCATATTCTTGGAAGACACAACAGAGGATGGAGCTACAAGATTTAAAGGAAACAAAATACAAATTGCAAGAGAAAATTACAGAAGCACAACAATGAAGCCCTGATGAATCTAAAGATCTACACGTATCAAATGATAAAGAAGAGTTTATAAAAGCGATACAGAGTCTAGGAAAAAATGATTTGGATCTGAAAATACTAGATGAGGATCAACATAATTTACAACAAGAGATTAAGGTATGTACAAATTTACAATAAAAAAGAAGAAGGTCAAGTAGAGATGAGAAATAATTAATAAAGCATGCTTAACTAGAAATTGATGGAGAGAAAAGTACGAAAGAGTCAGACATATTTAAAGTAGCGGATGTGTTGACTAAATGATTGAACACTTCAAAATTCATCGAGGCAAAGTTGGATGTAACAAAAAAGAAGAGTTAAAATGAAAAGTCGGTGTTAAAGGGGAGAAATGAAGACCACCACCAACTTTTAAGTTCCAAATTTTTCTAGTTAGTGCACCATTGTTCTTAATTTACCTACGTGCAGTTTTGTTTTATAGTTTATATGCTAGGAGTCATGTGTACTATTATGTTATTACTAAAGCTACGGGGATGTAGAATTGTCACCACCAACTTGTACCTCTATAAAAAAGGGATGGTGCATTGTGTTTGAGAGCAGAGAGTATGAATGAAAAATAGAGCGAGAGAAAGGGAGAGTCATAGAAATAAAGAGTGCACTAATAGGTAGTGAGAGGAAAAGAGAAATTATTGTAACTGCTCCATTTTCTACACTACCATAAAAGAGAGAATAAGGGTTTACTGTTCATTTTTGTCACACTCGTTTTCACACTTAACTGGTCTGGCAATAGGAAATATGCTATTCTAAAATACTGTAGGAATTTTGTCACATGCTATTATCCACTGTAATATTTCTCCCTTACTTTGAATCCGACACATCATGCTCTTTCTCATAATTCTCATGCTATTAACTATCAACCATATCTTATATATTTAAATTTTGAAAATCATATTAATAAACAAAAGTATTGTAAATAAAATGTTAAAAAAAAAAAAACATATTCACTTCGTGTATGGAGAAAAAAATTACATCATAACACATAATTTTTCTTGAGCAAAATGATGTATTGAGAAAATTGTTGCGAAAAAATAATAAATAATAATAAAATAATTAATCTTTTGAAGAAAAACGATTTATACACATTTTTTAACACATACGTTTAATGTCCATTTAACTATTTTCAATATTAATTTACATCATTCGATGTGTCTATAATATATTTCTTGAAATGCGTTTCGAGAGAATGTAAAATATTTATCGATTCGACTATCGTATAATGGTCGATAAATTTTTAGAGTTAGCTTGTTATCGAAAATTTCGAAATATAATTTGAAAATGCCTATTTTGACATCCCGTAACATTTACTACGATTAGCCGTTTCACGACCCGTTAACGACGTGCAATAATATGTCGCGAGTACTTCAATATGATATTAAGAATATAATATTTCGACTTCATTTGATATCCCGTAATGAGTTTGAAAATGAACACAAAAATATAAGTTTAAAAAAAATAAAAAATAGGCAACATGTAATAAACCTCCGTGCACGGAGGATTGGAAGGTCCGTGCACGGAGCTTCTTTGCCTCCGTGCATGTACCAAAGTTCGGTCTAATGCCCGTTTTTTTTTTTACTTTTATTTGTTGTAAATTCTTTTATTAATATTTAATTTTAAACAATTAAATATATTTAAATATTTACTTACAAATATGAAAGTTAATATTTTTTACCTATAAATAACATTTACCATTACAATTTTTTTATTACTTTTAAATAACTTTAGCTGATTTTTTTACTTATGGTGTAATCTTTTTATTAATATTTAATTTAATAAACTAAATATATCTAAATATTTATACTTAACAAATTTTAAGTTAACATTTTTTTTATATATATATTAGTAGCTTTTGCAATTATTTATAAGAGATTTAGAATCTAAAATGTAAAGAGTTACTTACTGTTATAGTAGTAGGTAAAAAAAAAAAAAAAGTGGTAAAAATTATTTCAGATCAGAGTTAAAAAAAAATTGTAATTGTAACTTCGATTTTTTTTAAAAATGTAATTGTAAAAGCTATTTATAAGTGAAAAATATGAACTTCGATTTTTAAGTATATATTTGTAAAATGTAAATAGTTACTTACGAGTAGAAAATTTGCTCCAAGTTACTTACAAGTATAAATTTTTTCGTTTTTTTTTTCTAAATTGCAAATTAAAATGATTTCAATTTAATTATTTGTATTTATTATATTTTTTTACTTCTTTTCCGGTGGATTGGTGGAAATTGTATAGCTTTTTGTTAAAAAAAAAAACTCAGAATGGTATTTTTGTCACGTACGTTTTCACATTGAATTGGTTTGAAATGTTTGGTTCAAATGGTTTGTCTTTTTCATTTAATATAATAAATAAGAAAAGATATAAAAAATATATAAAATAATGTACTATTTATCACTTTCTCAAGTTATTCAGTCTCTTTCCTTCCTTCAATTGGATTGATTTGTCTCCAAAAAATTCAAACTTCCGTCTACGAAAGAACTTTTCATATTTAAAACTTTCGATATTCTTCTTTCTTTCTGTACGAAAAAAATTCATGTAGTCGTCATCTCGATCTTGGAGAAGAAAATCATGGAATTTGTAACAATTCTGTTTGGGTATGTCTTTGAAAATTTTAGTTTTTGTTTGTGTTTTTTTATTTATTCTGTCTACAGATGAAAATTTAGTTTCGCTCATATTTTTCTACGTAATGTGCGGTATGTTATTCTTTCTGTATATACATGAAAATCTAAGTAAATTTTTCTTTATTTGTTGGATATAGCTAGGAAGGTTTTATTTTTTTCTTTTTTTTTTCTTTCATATGTATTTATTTCTTACTATTTTTTTTTCAGGTTTAAGTAATGTAACATAATTTTTTTGTTTTGTGTATACTACTTGACTACGTATTTCTTTCTTTATTGTTATCTACATGAGAAGTTTAAGTTTTTCGATCATTGTTGTTTATGTTTAATGAAGATTACAACAGTTTTGTATAGGAATGTTTGATTGTTATCGTCCAGTTAGTACGGTTTATAGTTCTTTTTTTACGTGTATTTTCGAAGAGGATTGTTGATTTACGGAATGTTTCCTAATATGCATCTGAGTTCGGTCAATTTAGTTGATACTGTGTTTAATGCAATATTATCATTATTTGTTGATTTTTAATTAAATTCATAATTTCTTCTATTATTGAAATCAGAGGCCAGTTCATTGTTTTCATGGATTCTTTCGAAAAATCTATGAATGTAGAGTCTGGTCGTTTTGATCTTCAAACTTTGTCACAAAGCACAAGTCAATCATACAATGCTTTCATTCGGCAACAACAAAATCGAAGGCAGACAGATAGGAGATATCGAAATGAAACTGTAAGTATTGATTATCGTAAAAGAATAAATAATCGTATGTTATCTACAAATAATACTTCTAAAGTTGATTATGTTCATGAATATATAATACATTCTGAGGCATCTACTTCAAATGAAGAAATGATAAATATTTTTTATTCTAAATTACATGGAAGTTCTAATTTGTTAAGTGTACAAGCAACTGCATATGTATTACCAACTTGTGCTTATTGTAAGCATTGTGGTGCACGAAAATTGTATAGAGAGACTAAAAGTTTTTGTTGTTTTGATGGAAATGTGAAACTTTTTATGCCCGATTCACCGGATGAATTGTATACTCTATTTACGTCTAAAAAGCCTGTATCTATGGAATTTAAAAAATATGCACGTTCATATAATAACTACTTTGCGTTCACTTCATTTGGTGTAACGTACGATAAAGAACTTATTAAAACATACAAAGTATCTACACATTTAGAGTTTCGGGACAAGTATATCATTATGTAAATCAGCTTATGCCGGATAATAATACACCTTGTTATATGCAATTATATTTTTATGATACAGCTAATGAACTAGAAAACCGTATGAAAACTTCAGAACACCTGGTAGAATCTATTTTATTTCTTCTAATCGAAATATTGAAGGTAAATCCGTATAGTAATTTTTTTAGGTTTTTAAGCAATATAACTGATCTGCATGAGCATAAAATTCAAATAAGATGACACCCAGGACTCGATCAAAGAGTCTTTAATACTCCGTCGGCATCTCAAGTGGCTGCTATATGGGTTGAGGATGATGAAAATGCAAATATTTGTGTTCGTGATATTACTATATATGGTCATTCTGGTTATTCTCATAGGGTTCATTATTATTATGGTTGCTATGCTCCTCTACAATATCCTTTGCCCTTTTCATTTGGTGAATGTGGTTGGCACGAAGGCATTCTAAGATACGAACAAATATCTTCTCAAATTGCACAGTTTGTGGACAATGTTGCTGATCCTAATGTAAAAAATTCGGCGGCTCAAATTATTGAAAAAGAGGCTGCAGGTTCGCTTATATACTTTCTTGTGTCTATTATAGTTTTACAAATGTAATATTGAAAGTAAATATAAAACTTTATTCATTCTCGCTTATGTAGTGCTGAAGGATACGAAGAAGAAATGATCTCAGGTATCATGTCGTGAGTACCATTCGTATAAGTTACAAATTAGACCTTCTAATAAGTCTGTGTTGCTTTACTTTGGTAGACTTTTTCAACAATATGTTGTGGATATGTATGTTAAAATAGAGACATCCATATTAGATTATTTTCGTAGTAATCAGAAACAAATTCGTGCTGAACTTTATCAAGGTATCGTAGACAGTATACATAATGGAGAAACAAGAGGGTACAAAATTGGAAAGAAAGTTGTTTTACCACGATCCTTTACATGTGGACCTAGAGATATGCTAAGGAGGTACTTAGATGTTATGGCTCTTGTCCAACGTTATGGAAAACCAGATTTATTTATAACTATAACATGTAATCCAAATTGACCAGAAATTAAGCAAGAATTAAAACATAATGATAAGGTTCAAAATCGACCGGATCTTATTGTACGTGTATTTAGAGCAAAATTAGAAGAACTTAAAAATGATTTATACAAGAGAAATATTTTTGGTTCTATTATAGCTCATATATACGTGATTGAATTTCAAAAAAGAGGTCTCCCTCATGCACATCTGTTGTTGATTTTTAACTGTGCTCATAAAATTTCTTCCACTAAACAAGTCGATAAAATAGTATCTTGTGAAATTTCTGATAAAAATATACGTCCTTATCTTCTTTCAATTATTGTAAAGCACAATATGCATGGTCCATATGGAAATCTAAATCCTAAAAACACATGCATGGAAAAAAATAGTTGTTGTAAAAATAAATATCCAAAGGATTATTGTAATAGTACTATATTTGGAGATAATTTGTACTCACTGTATAGACGGCGTAATAATGGTATTTATGTTAAAGTGAGAGGTAAAATGTTAGACAATCAATGGGTTGTGCCATATAATCCTTATTTAAGTACAAAATTCGACTGTCATATCAATGTTGAAGTATGTTCTTCTATTAAAACTGTTAAATATTTATACAAATATGTATACAAAGAACATGATCTTATTAATTTTTTGGTCGACAAAAATAACATAGACAAAGACATTGATGAAATTTCTACTTACCAATCTGTTAGATGGATATTTCCACCTGAAGCTATGTGGAGGATTTTTGCTTTCAATTTATCGAAAATATATCTAGCTATTTGTGATTTACAACTTCATATTGAAGATCATCAATGTGTAACTTATAAAAATACGGACAATTTATCTTCTGTTATTGAGAATGAAAATACGAGAAAAACTATGTTAACTGAGCATAGTTTTTCTGAGTAAATAAAATAAATGAATTTGCTCGAACGCTTTTGTATCGAGATTTCCCAACGCATTTTGTTTAGAATGCATCTAACAAAACATGGACACCTAGAAAGAAGCAAATTGTTGTAGGACGAATTGTCTCGGTAAATTTATCTGAAGGAGAACGATATTTTCTTCGTCTTCTTCTTAATCATATTAGAGGTCCAACATCATTTGATGATTTAAAGACTTTCAATGGGGTAAATGTTGGTATATTTCGTGAAGCTGCGCTTCTCTATGGTTTATTAAACGGAGATACTCGTTGTGAAGAATGTTTATCTGAAACTATTATTTACGAAATGTCTTATTCTTTAAGACGTCTTTTTGCTACGCTTCTTACAATGTGCAATCCAAATAATCATAAGTTATTGTGGGATAAATTTAAGCCTTATAAGATAGATGATTATATAAATCAAAATATGCCTGCTGAAATTGTTGAAGTATGAGCTTTAGAGGATATAAGTTCTATTTTAGAATCACTTGGTAAAAATATAAACGATTATGGAATTGTGTCATTTAACATAAATATAGACGACAATGAAAGATTGATGAGAATGGTTGCAGAGGAAACAACGAAATTAGATATTGAAAGAAACTTTAGTTGTACAGCGACGTTAAATAAAGAACAACAATTTGCATATAATACAATTATAAAAAAAGTACAAGATGAATCAAGTGGAATTTTTTTTTATCGATGGTTCGGGTGGGACAGGAAAGACTTTTTTATATAGGGCACTCTTGGCTGGTGTCGGATGTCGACATTTCATAGCTTAAGCAACTGCATCGTCCGGAGTGGTTGCATCTTTATTGCCCGGAGGTCGAACTGCTCATTCAAGATTTAAAATCCCTCTAGAAACGGTAGGTGAAGTCAACTGCTCTATTAGCAAGCAATCGGCATTAGGAACTTTATTGAAAATGTGTAGGCTAATAATTTGGGATGAGGCACCTATGGTTAATCGTTGTACTGTAGAATCTGTAGACAAAATACTTAGAGACATCACTGATTGTAACTTGCCTTTTGGTGGAAAAGTAATAGTTTTAGGAGGAGATTTTAGATAGACTCTACTAGTTGTACCTAAGGGAAACAAAGAAGACATAATAAAGGCTAGCATGATTTACTCGTATTTGTGGCCTTCTTTTGTACACTTAGCACTGGTTGAAAATATGAGAACGAAGTATGATCTTATTTTTTGTGAATACATACTTCGAATTGGAGGTGGAACAAAACAAGAACATACTTGCAACTGTATTAAGCTACCAAATAGTATAGTTCTACCATTCGAAGATGAAATTACGTCTCTAAAAAAATTGATACAATGTGTGTTTCCCAATATAGACACATATGCCGATCATTTATATACGATGGTCAATCGTGTTATTCTTACGCCTACAAATGAATGTGTTGACTATATTAATGGACTTTTGTTTAAACAAATTCCTGGTCAAAGTTTCACATACTATAATTTTGATGAAGCAATTGAGAAATTAGAACAAAGCCTACAGGAAGACTTCTTGAATACTTTGACACCAAATGGTATTCCACCTCATGAGTTGAAATTGAAGATGGATTATCCTGTAATATTATTACAAAATATCAATCCTTCCGAGGGGTTATGCAATGGAACATGCCCTACCTGTCGAAAATTTGAGAAAAGTGTCATTCTTACTAAAATCACAACTGGTGAATATCGTGAAAAACAAGTTTTCTTATCTCGGATCCCTTTCATACCTCTTAAAACTGATCGAACTGCGATTCCATTTAAAAGGACTCAATTTCCAATTAGACCGTGCTTTGCAATGACAATAAATAAAGCACAGGGTTAAACACTTGATTTCGTGGGTTTGTACCTACCAGAACCAATTTTCTGCCATGGTCAATTATATGTAGCACTGTCAAGAGCAAAAACAAGCAGATCTATTAAAGTTCTGCTCAAATCGTCCAATGAAAATCATGCGCACAACTCATGTACTAAAAATGTCATATTCAAGGAGGTTCTTTCGTTCATACATTCATACGACTGCACCTCTTTATAGGTATATGTTCGATTTATTGGAATTTCTTTCTTTGTCCGTGATTTCTCTGTCGACTATGCTAAATGAAATGTTTTTTTTCCAACTACAATGCAGATATTAGATTATTCTAGAAGTTGATGAATGGAATGGAGTGGATCATTTTTGTAAGAATTCTAACTGATTAGCATTTTGAAGTTGTTATTCAAATTATAAATGACATTCTACTTCAAAACATTTTTTTCAAAGTATCTAAATCAATTTAATTTATGCAGTATATGGATATTCAAATTTATGTGAAGAAAGTTAAGGAAATGTTGGTGCATAGGAAAATTATTGGAGCACACTCTTTTCAAAAATTGGTTACCTGAGGCAAACCAAGTTTTCAAGTCTTCAGATTTAAAGATAACTTGTGATGGAAACATAAATAACACAAGTTCTTCTGCACTAAAAGAAAAAAAATGAGTGGATAATGATTGAGATATTTGAGAAGTTTTTTGCAACAATTATTCTCTTCTTTTAAATCATGTAGTGTTTAAACTGTCTAGATTAGAAATGATATACACATCAGGGTGTTTGGTTTGCTTTATGGGTGCTAGATAACATCAATTATTGTTGCAAGCTTTGTTGATAAATCTTGTATTTATTTTTGTCTTCTATTTAGATTTATTTTCATCCAAGTAATCTATACCTACAGAAACTTATTTTGTAAGTGACATTATTTCTTATATATAGTTGTCAAACTTAAAACTTTTTAAGATGGTAAGTTGAAACTCACGTTTATAAACAACTAACAAAACAATAATACTTAATGAAAACTAATCATAAAATTGAAAATTAGTATAGCTATGAAACTATTATTAAATAACACAAGTTCTTCTGCACTAAAAGAAAAAAAATGAGTGGATAATGATTGAGATATTTGAGAAGTTTTTTGCAACAATTATTCTCTTCTTTTAAATCATGTAGTGTTTAAACTGTCTAGATTAGAAATGATATACACATCAGGGTGTTTGGTTTGCTTTATGGGTGCTAGATAACATCAATTATTGTTGCAAGCTTTGTTGATAAATCTTGTATTTATTTTTGTCTTCTATTTAGATTTATTTTCATCCAAGTAATCTATACCTACAGAAACTTATTTTGTAAGTGACATTATTTCTTATATATAGTTGTCAAACTTAAAACTTTTTAAGATGATAAGTTGAAACTCACGTTGATAAACAACTAACAAAACAATAATACTTAATGAAAACTAATCATAAAATTGAAAATTAGTATAGCTATGAAACTATTATTAAACTATATCATTAACAACAAAAGAAATAAAAAATCACCCACATATATATATACACACACATACAAATGTGTGGGGTGTGCCCACAGAAAATATGTGGTGTGTCTTACCCACACAATTATAAACAATTTTTTCTTTCTTCCACACTCGAGTATTAACAAAATGTAAGAAACTCCCATTTTCAACTTTCACAGGAATTTGGTGCTGACTTGCTGTGCGAAGATGTCTATTTTCCCATTTGAAGATGTCTATTTTCCTATTTGCACACGGAGAATGTGCGGGGCTACACCGCACACTGCTGCAAAATTTGTGCGGGGATAGCTACCCCACACATTGGTACGGGCTACCCCGCACAAATTGTGCCTGTGCACCCGCACACCCTCACAAAGTGCGGTTATCCCGCACATTGGAATGTCCCCCTCGTGCGGTACCTGCACAAATCTGCAGGATACGACATCACTCGCACGAGGGGTATACCCGCATCTTCATTGCTTTCTCTAAATACTATCAACAATATTTTGAGCTATGTGAAATTTTAAATAAAATACATATTGTTTTGGTTAAAGATTAATACAAGAAACAAAAAAGTATTATCTCTTTCTTTCATTTTTTGTTCCCATAAAATCTTTCAGAGTCACGAGAATCCTGTAAGAAGGTGTCAAAATCACTGCACATATTATGTTTATTTCTACAACTGTGGGAATACTTTGTCTATTCCACATGCGAAGCTCTTGTCAAATCATTGAAAAAAGCAACATACATTGCTTTAACTTAAGTACCTTCACATACCATTTGTTCTCACCAAAAAAATTTAAATATTTTTACCTGCCAGTTACACCAGCCCAACTTTGCTAAAAAAATTTAGGTGTTGTCTATTCTTTTTTTTCTTAATTTTTAGATAGATTTTTAGTTTTACATAATGTCTAATTTTCAATATTTAATTGTGTTTTAAATCATATGATGTATGTAATTCTTTCTAAATTTAGTAGACACAAAAATGGATGTACCAGATAGCTTCTCCAAAATCATCGATATTTCACTAAATCATAACATTCGTTTTGTAAGTTATATAATAATTTCTTTTTCTAGATTTTTTAAAATCTTTTATTAATATTAATGTACAACTTATACTTTTTTTCGTATTTGTAAATGCTTCCTACATCTTTTATCAATTACTGGGAACCAGAATTAGGTAACACACTACGATTAACTGCATATGATGGCATAATCGTCATAGTACAGTTAGAAAGAATTGACAGAGAAATATATCTGGCTAATGGATGGAAAGAATTTTTCGATCATCATAACTTACAGGATGGTTATGTTGTAGTATTTGAATCTAACGGAAATTCAATGTTGAATATGAGGATATTTGATCATTCTAGAGCAGAGATTACATATGGCTCCAATTATGAAGTAGATGACAATGATTTAAATATGGATAATTCTGCGTTTGAAGTAAAACTTACGCTGGATCATAACAACCATCGAGAAATTGTAGGTATTATTTTTAATACATCATTCTATATTTACCTATTCCACATCATTCTTAATATTAGTAAATCATTCATCCGTGTTTTCCAGTCTATACCTGGAAGGTTTGTGTTACGCTCTGATTATATACGCCTCGGATACCGAAGTGTCATCTCGCCTCCGAAGCCGAGATCAAGTGGACCCCGCGCAGCACCACTTATTCCGACCTGAAAATGACCCTTCCGAAACTTCTCCGAAGTGATATAGCGATTCCTACTACTGATCTACCGAAGCATCTCACCTCCGAGGTCGAGGTCAAGCGGACCCCGGTTAGAAGATCCGCCGCCAATTTGAGATTTGTCCTGCACCTAAAGCTTAAATTGATTTGACGTCTCCATAAGGCTAGTTGATGTGACTTATCAACTTTATGTCAATTCAACTTAAAGGAAACAAACTGTCCGCCCACTCTACAAACGCGACTGATTGACGCATATGAGCAGACGCTTCATACCGTCAGATGTACACATGCGTTCCACATCCAACGGTTCATACCACCTATAAATACTCAAGGTTTGGTAAGAGGCAAAGGTAATGAAACTCTTAATACATAGCACTCCATAGCAAGTTTATATATTTTCTCCTTCCCCTTTATTGTTGATTTGCATA